AAAAAAAAAAGCATAGGTCAGATTCGAAGCCCAGAGCGCAAAAGCTAATCGAGCATTCTTGACCGCTCAGCTATCGATGACAAACATTCTAACTGAGTCATTAGCCATACATGAACTGTTTAACCAGGTATGAGGGCTTTAATTAAAATTGGAAATTTTTATTCAAATTTTGTTGTTTTAATTGTGTTATAATGGAAGATTATTGTTTTAGTGTGTATTGCTCGGAATTCCGCTTTGGCCTTCTATACTTAAAGAGGATATATTCTATATTCTCTGGTAATGTATAAGTTCTTTTTCATCAGAGCTTAGGTTACATATATCTGCTCTGTTCCCCCACGACCGCCACTCGTGGATACGACTATACCTATATATACGGAAGGGGGCCAACCAATCAGAGGCGTGTAAGAGAGAGAAAGGTTGTACTGCTATTTGTCTTTTGTCTCTCTCATCTCGTCTCGCGGTCGGATCATACAATGCTTCCTCCATGTATATATTCTCTAAGGTATTCACACTGAGAACCAAAATGAGAATTGGGCATGTGCAGTATTCTAGAAAATTAAAGGATGACAAGATAATGGACATATCAATAGTGCCATTATAATTAGCATGCACAGAGCTCTCATGATTAAGTGTTTATATCAGGCTATAAGACCAATATTTTTCAAACATAGAATGCACATTACTACGCATTGGATGCTAATGCAATAAAACAACTACTGGTTCTATTGATAAGATTCAAAGAACATGCTACGAGAAATTTAAAAACAATTTGGAACTTCATGTTAAGTAAATATTTGCTGATTATGGTCATTAAAAAAAATTTACAGATACTTAAGGAGTCTATGTATCATTGTTTTTATATTATTAAATAACTTCATTTTAACATAGACTTGGAAATCAGAGCTACCGTTAGAATTACTACTGACTTTAGAGTATCATTTTTATGCAAAATGTAAGATATAGATTTATTCAAAGACTTAGCTGTGATGTGTTTAGAGACCTAAATATAGTTACATATTTCAATGAAGAAATGTACAGTAAGAGATCTTCAAGGTCGTCTAAAGTCCTCTGTGACTTAAGGCCCAAGAAAAATATTTTGGGTGCAAAATAATGCATAGAACTTGATATTATATTATTGAAGATTGTGGTGAACAATTCGGGTGAAGTGGCAATAATGATACACTCCAAATAATCAATATTATGCAAAATTTGTTATCAAAAATCGGGCTTATCTGCCCGAATTATTGAAAAAGAAATCAACCCATGCATGTGTATTAATGTGGGGGCTAGAAGTAGAAGATTTTTGGCAAACCACTGCGTGCATTTACTTGACAAGTATATTTTCTTTTGAAGTGAAACTAGAAATCTCAATCTTTAAGGCTTATTCTGGTTCATCAGGCCAATAAATATGAACATCCATTTTCGTTGTCACCAGATTCTAAATAAGTTTTTCCTTGCCATATGAAACTCAGTTATATAATCAAAAGATTGTTTCATTAAAGTCTAGAAGTGCTTACCTCATGAATAATCATATCAAGCGTTACAAAACGGACATGTAATCAAGAACTACATTAATTGATGCAACCACAGAGATATTTCCATGGATGCAACAGCATCCTTCAATTCTCACAAACTTAGGAGGCTGTTCACATAGGCGCGACAGTTCCCCACAGACCCACAGGGCCACAGGCCAGGGTTGTAAAGATACCATGAGTATCAGCTAAAGCGCGTTTCATCCCGTTTAAACGCGCTGTTTGGGCTGTTTGCTGACAAGGTGTTTCAGTTCGTTTCATACCGTTTCAGCGCTCTGTTAGCGTTGTTTGCCCTCATGCAGTTTTAGCGCGCTGTTTGCACTGTCTGCTGTGAAGCCTGCATGCAGCTGACATAATTGGTTTTGGCATTTTATTTCATGACTGGAATAATTGTTTGAAATAGTAAGTATATATTTATTAGTCAACAATGTTCTTGTATCATAGTTTTTTTTTATACTTATAAATTTGTTAACTTTATGATCCAGTACAGCCTATTTACTTAAAATACTATATGATACTGATCAATAGTGCAATTAAATTTATGTATTTAACGCTTGCTTTACTATTAAGTTTGATTAAACGGATACTGTTGATTATAAAAATGATGTGTTAATGTTGATACTATTTACTCTTACAGTCTTTCTATTTATGTTAATTATTACACCCATTAGACTCAACGTTCACTGATTTTGCAAGTTGATTTCTTATTTTATTTCAAAGGTGATTGCAGTACCAATTAAACTTTTGATTGCTTAACATTTTAATATTTAAAATAAGTATAGACTGTAAATATAGTAGTATTTAATTTTCATTATCACAAATATATGTGTATGTTGAAAAGGAGCTTCATTTATATACTAATTGTTCGGTGGTGATTTTTATAAACTGTCAATCAAATTCTGTACTCAGATAATTTTAAGTACTGTATTATTTTAGACTATTGTATGTTTTAAATGTAGATGTCTATGTTCACAATTAAGTCTGAGATAATGTGTACTGTTATAATATTTAGGTTGGAGAGTAGTGATGCTATGGAGAAGGGGCCAGGACCCCGGGTTTCATGTAGTCTGCGAAGCATCATTTTCCTTTCGTCTTCAAAGAGTTCGCATTGCCAAAAGATGTGTTCCGGAGTGTCCTGATCCCTTCCACATTTACATTTATCACTGTCAACTATTTTGTATTTATACAATTGGTGATTTAGTAAAGTGTGGTTGCTCCTTAGTCTGTTTATTGTGGTTATTGCTCTTCTAGGAATATTGAATTTATTGAACCACGGATTTTTTGATTCAGTAACTGCTGCATAGAAGCTAACGCCACCTGCCTTATGGGATGCCTAATACCTAGTTAAAGAGGGTACACTTAAAGATCAGCGNAAGTCTCCTTTACGAACCTCGTTACGTCCCTCGCCTTTGGCTCGGGCCGCAAACCTCTCGGTTCGCAAACAGAGACTTTTCAAACTCGTAGGAAAACTACTATTTATTGCTTTCGGGCACGAAGTGAGCACTTTGCATGCTTGTATTGCAGGCGCAAAGTGAATCTTTTCTTCTAGGGCGCAAAGTACTTTTCAACTCTCAAGCATACAATCATCGAACAGCAAATAATTTTTTTTTTTTTGTGTAAAATTGTTTGAAAACACGAGAATAGGTGTTTTTTATCTTGAAATAAAAAATTACTATGTATGCACTTTTTGTTATTGAGGAAGGTGTGTGGGGGGGGGGGGGGTTAAATCCTTTTGACTCCACAAAACTTTTTTCAGTTTACTTTATTCTTTGTACCAATAGGTAACATTTACATCTTAAATAATACTCAATTTCACTTTATCAAAATAATGGTATACGTATAGAATTTGAAGTAGCATGGTAGTTATTTAAAATGATCGATCGCTTCCTCTGTCTGGTCTGGCAAAGTAAGGGGCTTTGCCTCCCCCTATCCTCACCAGGAGCAAAAAGTTATGGATGGATCTGATACTTTTTCAAAATAAAGTTATAATTAAGACTTCTCAAATGGTATAAAAATTAATTTGGGTCTACTACCAATTAAATGAGTAAAACGGAAGTGAAAATAAATTATGTTGATATGTAATCGTATGGGAAGTATCATAATACGAATATTTTTGAACTAAAAATACCGTTATCAGTTATATAAATGTTATTGACTAACGAATATATATATATATGTGACTTTAAAAAAAAACCCTTCATTAAATTGCATCTGCTATCAAAATATACATTTATTAGTGAAAAACTTTTCTTTTTATGGTTAGCTTGTGAAACGTTTGACATCTTTACCTTAGCTTTGTACTACAGCAAGCGTAGCTTACAGGATAAATTTTTTGTACAATTAAATGGTGTCTACACACTCATCAGTTAGCTGTCGTAGCCACTGAAAACCTTACCTTTTATGTATATAGGCAATTCTAAGTATTACCTCCGGTTTTACCTCACGTAGTCTAGAGGCTGGGTGGGTTTCACTGCCAATCGAGGTCCTCCAAAAATCAAGGTTTTCTAGACGTATTGTGACTTCCTGAAACCAAATCTGCTGAATTTCCTTATTTAATTTTCATTGAGAAATATAATATGTTTAGAACGCTTTGAAAATTAAAAAATACTACCAGAAGAAAAACTATGGCAAATTATTACGTTTTCTTTTAAAAGTATGCTAACTTTTTAAAAATAAAAAATATTAATTTCAACAAAATTTTTTATATTTTATTGTCAAAATTTAGCTTTTTTGTCCATCGCGCTCTTTATTTTCATCATAATTCGGCCTGAAATTAATATTTTCAGCTCCAAAACCTCCCATTTTAAAGAATAATATTTTATCTTCAGCTATAACTCATAAAAAACACTTGAAGGTTGCTGCATTTTGTTTTTGAATGCGTTAATACACAAAAAATTTGGCGAGTGAACTGATACTAATTTGTTTGTAAGCTCTCATCTATTTTTTGTTGTCGAAGTGATCAATACTACAAATAGTGTTAAAACTTTTAGTAAGCTATGTGGTTTTATATTATAAGCTATGATTTAATTTTTTCCATATGGTTTAAGGGGAATCCAGAGATATTTTACGTTACCTTTCTTATCAACAAGGTTCTTTTTCAGTATCATAGTATTATTTACTAAGGATCTAGCTACTTCATCTTAAAAACAAGAAAACACGCACATTCTCAACACTTTAAGAAATGAATCGAGCTGAGATTAGGCTGGATTAATTGAAAATAAAAGGCGGACAATGAAAAATCTCATGTCATACAAGTGATACATGATCTGATTCTTCGTTTTCCTTTTACAAAATGCTGTCGATAGTTTTATAATCAGGCTTTATTAATTCTATTCTCCGTTTATAACGTGCAATAACTTTTATAACGACAGACAAATGTGGAATATCAATTTAAATCGCTGTAAAACAATCGAAAAGATCCTCGTCGCTAATGAAGGCAGCAAATGTAAGTATGACTTTATAGTGTATATCACTGTTGCGATTTACCCAAGACTTCTCTTGGGTGCTCTCGGCTAGTCGCGCAAGCGCAGAAGAACCATGCTCTCTTTCTCTCACCAGACAGGTAGGAGTAGGGGAGCCCCCTACCTAGTCTTCAACTTAAGCTCCGCCCACTTCTCACGACTTAAATATTACTTTTGACTCTAGGTCCGTATGTCTCTCGATGGTCGAGTGGGCTAACTGTTTTGCCAACGCATGACTATAGTCGGGTGATCTTCGATTCCCGACTATGGCACTTTTTTTTTTTTTTTAATATTATTATTATTATTACTATTATTATTATTATTATTATTATTATTATTATTACTGTTGTCATTGTTACTATACCTTATATTAATATTGCTAACAATGTTATTAATACCCATTGTTTTTGATAATATGATTATTTTTATTATTTGATATTAAGTTTAAGGATACTGAAAGTATTATTTTTGTTTCAATAGTTGCCTTTAAAGTATACTAT